ACACACACACACACCGACACCGTTTGGGGATGACATAAAGACGTACCTACATACCTACATACCTACACTCATACCTACAGACATGCATACATACATATCCATATCTTGTTTGTTGGTCCGCATCATCAGTTCCAGAAAAGTACCATCATCGGGGACATGCGGGGCTAAGGTTCCCTTGCCCAAGGGCACTCTTTGTGCTGGGGTCTGCCTTCAGGCTGATTTGAGTTGCAGCGAGCCTATTTCATGTAGGGGATTTCTTTCAGTTATGGGAGTGTTCTTGTTTCCTTAGAAGACCCACGAAGACTGCGATTTCCTTAAACGGTTTGGTTTTAGCGTCTAGCAGCCCTTCTCAAAGGCAGTAGGCCACATGTTTGTTTTCCTGTCCTGGCCGTGTTTAGTATCCTTGACCTTGTTTGTCGAGTCCCTCGCCTGCTAGTCGCACGAATGTCACCTCATTGGGACCTTCTTTGTGACGCGCGAGGCCTCTAAACGGGAGATGTTCAACGGTAGGCCAATATTCTGTGATACCAAGATATACCAATGGCAGCTCTGAAAGAACATGATTTTTTGTGTTAGGATGGGAATCCAACCATTGTGGAAACTTGGGTTCCGTGTTGGCTTGAAGTGGGCGTTTCTTGCTTTCTTTCAACTAGTGCAACTCTTCCAACCTGGCTCCTGAACTGTCTTGTGTGATGTTCCTCGGGTTTCGCTTTGGCTTTTGCACAATGCCCCAAGCAGTCTACACTAGGGTGAAAGTGGATGATCTAGTAGATGGCACATGTCTTAATGTGGAAAACGGGGATGGCTGAACCAAACTGAGGAGATTGTGCAGTCTTTCACCCAACTGTAGGTGGTTCCCCAAAAGTGACAAGGATTCACTCTGAAATGGGACATCCTCTTTGAGTCACTTCACCGAGCCAGGCGGGTGAAGGTGGGCCCAGAGTCCAAAGACCCAACCACGCTCTCCCTGGCTCCTCGATTCGTCAAAGCGCGGGTGGGTGGTTGTTTACCCGGGGCGGGCAGGCGGGCGGGCGGGCTGCGTGGGTCAGGGGATTCTTGGGGTTTTCGAGGGAATTTCCAAAGGGTCTGAGGCAACCAGGCCACGAGAAAAGGCTTTGGCTTTGTTGAGCTGGCTTTTGGTCTTGGCTGCGAACGTCTGCCGAAAAGCTTCCGTCATTTTCACCTATGACTCATCGCATCTAGGCTGACCTAGCAGCAGTGGCATGGAAAGAAAATGTGTTGAGGGGGCCCACTTTTTGCGAGTGCCCAAGAAGATTCTCAATCTGTGTCAGTAATAGAGAGCAGTCATAGTATGGGAATCAACCACTCAATTGTCTAACACGCACGCCGTCCCATTTTCCAAGGGGGCTCCCAGCGTTTCGCTCGCTGGGGGTGAGGTTAGGGTTTTCCCTCACTTCCCTTTGACCTTCCAACTCCTGCGGATCAGGTCAGTGGGCTTGTCTAGGAATAGGGGAAGCCACAATGGCGGGATTCTTCTGCACGAAAATACGACACTTGGGAAAAACAACACCCTGGTCAACGAAGCTTGCGGTCTCTCCGGCTGACTCAAGGCAAGTTGCAAAGCTTCCTTTTTTGCCTGAGGGACGGACTACCCTGGATGTGAGTTCGTTTGGCTATAATCGTCCCTGCTCATTCAATTAAACTTCGGATAGATTCGGACGAAATCGCATGAAATGATTTGATTCCCCACCAAAATAAGGAACCCGTTGACCACGGAACCCGCCAAGCCATACTTTTTTTCTGGTCAACAAGCACAATGCTCGAAGGGAACCAAGAGAAACTGACCATAAAATCGAGACTCGTATGGGGCCAGATGTGGGTCACTTTTGAAAGGGTGCAATCGATATCTGGGGTCTGCTCTAAGCTTATGTTGTCTTTAGGGGAGTTGAATATGGAACAGAGTCAGATGCGCTTTTCTGAGTTTCCCGGATGTGAGCCAGGAATGCACAGCAACAATGCAACTCAGTGTTCACACGTGAAAGACGCTACTGGAGTGAGTTTTTGGACATTTGTTTGGCAAGCTCTCGGGGAAGTATAGTTTGGTGGTTTGGATTGCTGGTATCCCTGCAGTATTTGTTGGTGCTAATTATAGCTACCTTGCAAAGGGGTTGGAGGCCTTGCCCGTGGCTGAGGAAAGTCCTTTGCGCTGCTTTCTGGATGCCCGCTTGATCATGCGGCCCAACTCCGTCTACCAGGCCCACTATTTTCATTCCGATCGCCCTATCTGAACAGAGTAAAACGAGCGGTTCCACCCAAAAAGAGGGCGAGTTCACCCACAATGTAGGTTTTTTACCTGGGAAATCCTTATTGCAGGTTTTGGAATCATTGTAGCCTTTCGCAGATGACCAGCACTTAGCGGAGGGTGACTAAACATGGACCGGATCAAGCACGTTATTTTGGGCTCAGGGCAAGCTCAGGTTCTTTGGACGTTTAGACTCTAAGAATTTAGCGGGACTTCTGACCCAGGGATTCCATTTCCCTGTAGGTAGTTAATGGAACCACCGCTACCTACCTTTGAGGCAACGGAGATCCGCTAGGTGATATATCACAGTAAAATTTGAACTGTTTGGCAAGGTATCAAAAGCCTTCAAGACCAGAGCTGGAAAAGGGGGACTACCCTCTCCTCAACATTGCACCCATTAGGGTAGTTCATGGGGAAGACCTTCCAGTCATGATGACTAGTGTAAATGGACAGTAACCCGACTTTTTTCCGTTCCAGAGGAGTGTGCATCTAAGCTGTATTCTCCCTTTTTGGCGCTGCCGGTCCGCAAATCCGATAGTGAGGTAGTCTATGGTTCTTTTGGAGAGGATGAGAGGGAGGCAGCCTCAAATGCAACCTATTGTTCCACTCTTCTGGGAAGTCTAACTTTCTAAACTCCAAGCATTCACAGTTGCTTCGATGGGCCAGGTATCTAAGAGCACAACCACGCACCCCTATGCTTTTAGCTGCTATCATTCTGGTAAGTATATGCGCCCTTTACCTTGGCGGTGCCCAGCGATACCCTTAGACTTACCTTTTAAGCGTGAGGGATTTATGATATACGGGCGTGTCTTTGTTCGGTGGACCCCCTTTGGAGTTCACTTTAAAGGGACACCAAAAGGACACCAACATGTTTTGGGGCCCCCGAATATAGAGACAACCCTGTATCCCAAATGTGTATAGTCTTTTAACAAATCGCAATGGCACCCGGCTGAACCTCGGATTTGTCCAGAGGACCACTGGGCAACGTGTGGTACCATCGACATCTTTGACCTTGACTAAAACGATGATGGTAGAAACAGAGGTTTGAATCCTGGGTTTTGGCTTGATTGCTGACCAAGCCGAGGATGTTTTAAAAACATGCTCAATTCCAAACCACAATTCGACCGCCCCGTTTGGTATGCTGCTGCGGATGGAACACTATGCTGCTGTGGATAGGCAGAATCCTGCGCCAGTTGGGACCCTGTCAATACTGGAATAAGCCACCTATCAACTGGCCCGAAGCGTATTTTGTCCATCCACGTTTCCTTAGGAACATTTCCATTGGTTGTCTAAACCCCTTACTAGGAGGTTTTCAATATATGCGCCTGCTAAATAAGGGGTGTAACAATTGTTCATGTTCACAATAGTCTTTATGTTACCCACACTTACCCACTAAACATTACTGTACCTCCGCAAGAAACAAATTCACACAAACAGGATTGGCCCTTCAGCAACATGACTGACATGACTGTCTCAAAGGGGAACACCCAACTTGTTGTATTTGTTCATTTGGTCTTTAAAGCCAACCAAAATGGGTCCCTCCTGCCGAAACGAGAGGTGACGAGCGAGGACACTGTGGCAGAGGTAGTTTGCGAGCTCCACGAGAGAAGGCTCGGTGCATGCATCTTGGCTCGAAGGGCCCCCACAAACTTCCATTCGCGGAATATGGGTGTCTCGCTCATCTTTTTCACGAGGCAGGAATCTATCACTGTCGGACATCTTGTCCAGTGGACTTGCAAATGGAAACCGACACGAAACTGCCATTTATGGGCTGATAATATTGGTCAGGGGCCCTATATCTCGGCTTTTGGGCAAGGCCGCGCATCAGAGCTTGGGCCAACAGGCGAGTTTCCTCCTGGCGGGGTGATGTGTCAGAGAGAATCCCTAGTGCCCTGTTGGTCTACTGAAGGGAAGCCAAGCTGGAAAGATGTGGGTGTGGAGATACCGGAGCAAGATACCGGAGATACTTTTGGTTTGGGGAGAACAGGCACCCATTTTGGCACCCCATTTTTTAGAGGTCCGCAAATTGGATACCTGGGTAAGTTATGGAACACCCAAAATGCTCGGAATCGTTGTGGTTTCCCTCGGTTTATTTTGTGCACCCCAAAGTGGACGAGATCCCTTCACACCACACACGGCCATTTGTTTGCATGTGCATTTCTCACATTGCCAAGGTGTGGTCGAATTCGAGGGCCGCATGGAATTTCTGGACTGCTCAGACTTCAACTTCTTTCTCGTCTCTTCCCTACGCGAGAAGGACCGGCTGAATGTAGTCGTTTGGAACGCTCGTATTGAAGCGCTCTCCCAAGCAACCATACAAGTAGTGTCCTTTGATTGTGCTGCGTTGGCTAACATTTGGCTCTAAAAAGTTCAAGTGTCCTGCGGTTTGCTCTCATTTCTCTAATTTTGTTAAGCAAATTATAGTCTTCTTTGGGTGCCATTGTGGGAGGTGGCTCTCAATGTGACGGAAGGGGTCACCTTTGGCTGCTTTTGAACTGAATCCGACAGGCCCCCTAAACGGATGTCGCGATATGAAGCTTGTAGAGGATCAAGTAATATCCTAGTGTGTTGTTTCTGGATGTGAATTGTTTACTTGCAATTCTCAGGGAATCCATCATACCCTTTCTTATTCTCCAGACCCGTGCTTCTCCTGCTGACAAGGTTCTGGACCTCACGGCGTACATGAATTGGCTTACTCGAGGGTGAATCGTCTTACGTTATCCTCCGTCCGGGTAGCATGAAAGCTTCCTTCTGTCCTTTGCCTTTTGTATTCCCGTAACACGTGTAATTATAGTTGAGATTTCTTGGAAAGAGCAAGGCACTGAAAAACAATAGGGGACACACACATACACACGCACGCACCAAGCAGCGAACCCACTGAAGGGAATGTTCAGCATGCTTCATTTGGATGTGTCCCGAAATTGGGGATCCCATTTGATTCCCTTTGGCATAGCTTTTGAAGTTGAAACAAGCTTTTGACTAGCAGACGAACAAGCAAGCAGGCAAGCAAACAGGCAAGCAAGGAGGCAAGCCAGTAAACCAGCAGGCAAGCAAGCAAACAAAACAATTCAGCACACAAGAAACACGCAGCAGACAACCGCGAGAAGTGAAGAGCGCAGACAAAGAACAGCCCCCCCCCCCCCCCCCCCCGCGCGCGCGCGTTTGGAGGACTGGCCGGCCACCAAAGCGGCGCTGCTTCGTGCGGCCAAGATGCCGGTCCGGAAGATGCTGAGTGCTGGCTATGATTTAGTGGCGCTAGTGGCGCCCAGGGAAGGGTTGGTAGACTGATTGATTATTTAGTAGGTTAGGAGGTTGGGCGGGCAGGTTGGCAGGTTCGTTGGGTGGCTGCCTGGCTGGTTGGCTGGCTGGCTGGTTGGTTGATTGGTGGGTTGGCTGGCTGGTTGCTTTTGGTCCTGTGTACTTGCCTTTGCGTGTACCCTTGAGCTGCTCTTATATTCCACTGAGCTTGCCTGTGAGCTTTCCTTTGAGTTATTTTCCTTGAGCTTTCGTCTTGGTTGTCTCTGTGTATTGCCGATGAGCTGTCCTTTGGGTTTCCCTTTGACTTTTCTTTGAGTTGTTCTTTGAGGTTGCCGTCGGCATTCCTTTTCGTTCTTTGTTTCTCCTTTCTTTTGCTTGTTCCCGACTTTCCTTCTTGTGCGTTGTTCAGTCGCCATTCGTTGTCATTGACTTATCAGTTCGAACGGTTTTCTTTCTGTTGCTTTCCCACAGGATTTCCTTGTGTTTTCAGCTTGCACACATCATACATACATGCGTACATCGTGCCCAACAGGCGCCGCTGACGATTGATAATAACCAAAGAAGGGCTCGCGCTCAACTCGTTCAAAGTGGTTCCTCGAATTTGGGACACCCCCTTGGATCTTGCGTCCACTTGAAGTCATCACATTTGGGGAAACTAGCATTTGGCTGGCTCACAACTGGTCCCGGGGTCCGGTGAGCTCTACTTCCATCCGCAGGATTAGGCAGAAGCCGGGGCCCAGAACCGATCTTGGAAATAAAGCCTAGCCCTTTTGAGGTCCTTGTCATTTCCCGCGTTAACGACAAAATGGGAAAACTGGTCATTCCGATTGTCCCGCGGGTTAGCAACACCCAATGTCCTCTCAGCAGTTTCCTGCCTGCCATACCCTCAGACTTTTTCTAGTTGTTTGAGTTTAGCGTTGGATTTATGACATAGCCCACTGCGCACATTTAGAGCTCAACTGCTATCATGGAAACCAGCGACAAAAATATACTTGGCTTCCAAACTTCCATCAACAAGGAGTTCCTGTAACTTCCTGTTGGTTTTGGCGAGGCAACGAACCATCGACTGAGGAAATCTCCCCGGCGCCAGACCTTGGAGTTTGCCTCTCGGCAGGTGGAGTTCCTTTGGAAACACCGGGGCAAACAACTGCGATGTTGGGGCTACTGGAGCTATTTTGGCAGCAGAGGATCCAAACTTGGAAAATGGCAACAATTGCAGGTGGATCCACGTGAATCCAAGGATGAAGTTGAACACCCCATTTTTTTCAATGGTGTGTGTGTGTAGGTGCGTGTTTGTGTGTGTGTGTGTGGGTTTTACTTGCTTGATGGGGGTCATAGGCGAAGCTTTTGCAAATAGAATGTCGCGCTGTGGTTTCAGAGTATCAGGTCGCAGAATGGCCAGAGGAATCCCGTTCATGATCTATAGGCATGGGATGGGAATCAAGCTTCACCCTCCCAACATGCAACGGCCTGTTTCACTGTGGATAAGTACAAAGAGAGACAACCTCGTGCTCACATGCATTTTCTCACACGCTACACCGAATCTCAAAACCTTGCGGCTTCTCCCACTTGCAAATCCAGAATATGGGCTAATATGGGCTAATCTGGGTATTTGTTTTGAGGGCACGGAGTGTAAGGGTTGTTTCTATTTTGAAGGGCTACGGGAGGCCACCCGTTGAGGTTCCTGTATGTGGATGCAAACCCATAGTGCCATAGTCAATGCTCCGAAAGTTTCAGCTTTTATTTTACATTGCCAGACTGAACGAAACGTTTGGCTCTGTTGCCCTTGTGGGCGTCCTTTATGTTCACCGGACAAAAGTGACACTCTTCATGTGGTCTCAGTCTGGCCAAGTTTTGGTAGGCGACTTCAGGTGCCACGTTCCCCAAAGGAACCCGGTGCCACACCCATTCCAGTCAACAGAATTGGACAACCAGCTGTTTCCCTTTTTTGTTTTTGGGCGGTTTCCTCATTCCATTTGGAAGAATAACACACACACACACCATGTGTCAACATTACTTTCCTATCACATGGGTTTGTTTGACTACTTTCAATTTCCTTGCCTTTTGGAACTGCAGACCCCTTTGAACCACTGAAAACCATCTTACAAACCACTCTTCAGGGTTCCAAGCAATTGTGCAATTGTCCTTCGGTGGTTTTTGTCAACCCTTGGAACTCCAAAGACCTCGGACGCAACAGAGTCCCATTTGCGAGATGGTGAATGGCAAGATAAGATAACTTCCACTGCCCAACCAGCCACCACTTTACGGCCTTGTGTTTTTTGGCGATTTCTGTCTGGCCGTTTTAAAGGGAAACCCAAAAGGAAAAGCGAAGCCATTCAGTGGGGGTTCCCGGGAACCAATCAAGGAGCCCTTCGACTCCTCGTTGCCTTTGAAGCAGCTCGTGGAGCGACTGCAGAGGCACGCGAATCGGGTCAAGCGCGGGGTGATGTGGCTGTGACCCCAAATGGGTGGTTGCCCTCCAAACCAAGCTGAAAGGGGTAGACTGTACCTTCAAAGCACATCTGTCTATATACATACATACATACATACATACATACATACATACATACATACATACATACATACATACATACATACATACATACATACATACATACATACATACATACACACACATACATACATACATACATACATACATACATACATACATACATACATACATACATACATACATACATACATACATACATACATACATACATACATACATACATACATACATACATACATACATACATACATACATACATACATACATACATACATACATACATACATACATACATACATACATACATACATACATACATACATACATACATACATACATACATACATACATACATACATACATACATACATACATACATACATACATACATACATACATACATACATACATACATACATACATACATACATACATACATACATACATACATACATACATACATACATACATACATACATACATACATACATACATACATACATACATACATACATACATACATACATATTATATATATATATATATGTAGATGTTGGTGTTGTGTGTGTGTGTTTACTTTAGTCCCCGTGACTGGATAATTTTGACCCTTAGGGTGCTGATGGATGTTGGGGCCGCCAGGTAGCAACCCTTTGCAGACCTCTGAGCAATTGGGTCGTAGTATCGGGAACCCTGCGGCCTCTAAGCCTCAGGACCCTTGCAACAGCGCCTGGCAGAGGGTCCCATGCGGGAAAATTATAGACACGGTGATCTGGATCTTTACTGGGTTGCAAGTTGCAGTTGGTGGATTGTAGCAATTTACCCAGATTAGTGTTGTGGGTGCGTGTTGCAGCTTGCAACCAGTTGAGTTGAACTTAGGTTGTGTTCTGGGCAATAGATCTCCTGCCGTCGCTATCAAACACAGGAATTTTGGAATGGGACAAGCCACCGGGCACCGCGCAAGATTTTGACCATCCACATGAACTCTACGATTGCTTTCGCTGTGGGATGTGAATTTACTAAGTTTCCTTGCATTCCAGGGGTGGTAAGCCGCGGCATCGCTCAACATGGCGGTTCCCAGCCGTCTGAGGTTCAGTGGTGGTTTCCGAATTTAACGACAGATCGGCTTTTCGCAGATCAACAAATGAGACAGCCCAGTTGGGGTGGACACCGGAAGCTCCGAAGCTCCATACCAAAGGCACCGGCGCGTGCCGTGCTATGTGGACGGCGAGCTTCGGGTGGCCGCTGGCCAGTTGGAACCTCTCGGGGCCTAGGAAGGCGCATGCGGTTCCGTTCACATGGCCTCCCCCCTCCCCCACAAAAAAAAGCACACACCGGCTTTCCCTTTGGTTTCCCTCTAAGCCAACCAGAACAGGGGTACCCTCAAGAAAAGACACGCCCAAACAGGGGTATGTTTGATTTGATGTGTTTGTATATCTGTTCTGTATGATTCTTTGTTTGTCCGCGTGTTTGTAGGTCTCTCTGTCTCTCTCTGTTTGTTTGTTTCTGTCTCAGTGGGTATTGGGGATGCGGTGAATGATATCACGTGCATTTTATTTGCAGCGGTCGATTTCTGGATGCTACCCTTTTTCCAAAAAAAACATGGACATGGACAGGAGGGGTTTAGAAGACTGCCATCTTTTTAAGGCCGCTTGTCCACTGCCACGATTGTTGGAAAAGGGTGGGCAGGGTACGACCACAGTTTTGCAAGAACAGCAAGTCTAGGACGACCACAGACCCTTAGATCTGGACCTGTAGCTTTGCGGCCAATGCCCATGGTTTGCTCGGCCGCCCACATGTTTGTCCTTAAACCTCAAATCCTACCCCCTAAATCCTAAATCCAACCCCTAATCCTGAACTTTCGGCTTGGACCTAGAACCCTAAGCTTGAACTCTAAAACGCCAACCCTAAACTGAAGCCCTAAAACCTGACCTGCACCCTCAACCCAACCCCCAAACACGCCCTAAATCTAAACAGCTGAACCATTGCGAACATGACTTCCCCATGGTCATGACTTAATTTTGTTTTGTGCACTTAGCCCCTTATATTACCTCGAGTTCCCCTTTCAGGCTACAAGGAAACCACATTTGTTTGGTCCAAATATCTCCATATCCCGATTTTGAGGCGTCCAAATCCATGCTTTGCGAGCCCAAGGACAATCTCAGGGTGCGGCCCCCGAAATCCAGAAGCTCAGGTTTTGACCGCGAACGATCTCCTGGAGCTCTGCGGGGGCTCCGTGGCCAAGGACGGAGCATGTCTTTGATCAAGCTTCAGGGATTCGTTTTGGGTTGCTTGAAAGGGACCAAGGAAACATATACAAAATACAAACAAACACTTCTTTTGGGGGCTGTCAATAATACCCATCCAATGCCCCAGAGACCTTTCATGAAGCCATCCAACACCCCAGAGAGCTTTCATGTGGATGAAGCCCCGTGAATACTGGTTGATCCACAACCTACAACTGGCACAAAGGACTTTGCCCATGCATAGGATTCAGTCATTTGAGTCGAGACCGCCAAAGTTGCATGGTTTGGCCAGTGAACTCAGGTCAGCAAAGGGAAATGCAAAGGAGAAACACATTTGGAGAGAGCCTGTGCCGATTTCAACCTGTCCCCAACAAACATGAAATGACCGGGCCGTTTTTTGCGGGTAACACGCGAGAAGAGCGCTGCGCCCGCCCCTTTTCCCGGGGGTGCCTTGTTTTGTGACTCGCCCAACTCCAAGCATTTCGACTATGGATCTGATATTTGCTCAGCCAGGGTGACTCCGAATGACGAAAAGCACCGAAGTCATAGAATGTTTGGTTTCCAGAGTTTTCGCCCCCGCAAAGCCGTGCTTTGCCAACTTGCGGACAAGCCGCAGGGTTCGTCTCAGGCCAATCAAAACCCGTAGGGCTTTGTTGCAAGACCTAGCTTATATGTTCAACTTTTTGCCAGACTTCTTGTACACACAAGCTGGGCAGGACCAGCCTGACAATTCGGTCAGTTTGGCAGACTGAGCTTGCCTGAAGAGCAACAAGTTGTCGCTTTTTGCAGCGAAAATACCTGTGGGAGTTCCGGCGAGAACCACTCCCATCGCCAGTTCTTGAAACAAACGCTGCTGGAAAATAATGGAAAGGAAGAATCCAATCAAGCAATAAGCCTGGAAGCACCGGTTCCTGAAGCAAAACACCTACTGAAAGTCCCCTAGGGAACCAAGTGAAGGAGTTCCCGCCACGACAGCCAAATGGGATAACTTGAAGCCTAGCCCCAGACGCTCAGCCGAAGCAGCTTTTTTGCTGCCAAAACAATGTCGTTTGGTTTGAACCACCACCTTTGGGTTGAGACCCACCGCGGGCCTCAATTCCTGAGTTTCTGGGCATTGTGCATGGTGGAAGAAAACAAATAGTGGCAAACAAACAGTTGCAGCGAACCTGTTTTCTCTGACGGTCTTGAAGGGAAAATTTAAGGGAACACCACCACCTGTTCGGGATTCTCCTTTATGACGGACGTACCGCCCCTTTGGTAGGCTCAGTTCATTGGTGCTGTTCGCCCGCAAGGTGTTGTGAGGTGTCCACTTCCAGTTCCACGGGGCGATGATTTGGACATCGCCGGATTTTGCCGCTGACTCAGCCCCCATTTGGTGTCTTTGTTTGGAGGCTCACTGCCCTTTTTGGAGTTGTTTTTCAGGTGAGCCTCAAGACGGGTTGACCCTCTATTTTAAAGTGACACCCATCTGCAGTGCAGACCTGCAGTGGGTGCAAATCGTTTTTCTCTTGGGGGGCTTTCAACAACTTGTCTTCAAGCACTTCAACGAAGGTGCCGCGTTCTGGGCCTGGTGACGCCTTTCGCCAGGCCTCGAAGGAGGTCTTGGAGGCGACGCTGCGCCAGGTGCTGGGCGAGGTCTCGGACGGGCGCCTCGACACCTCGGAGGAGCGAGCGCGTTTCGCGGTCTCGCGGTCGGCGGCTTTGAACCTCGAAGCGAGATTGTCGAAAGGAATGCACGGAGGACTTTTGTCGGGAGCCATGGCCCCTGGCCGGAAGGTTGGTTCCGGACCCACGTTGAATTGTTGATCCGCTGTCAATTTTTGTTTGGGCTTCTTTTGACGAGATGGCCCCAAGAAATGGTTTCAATCCTTTTTCCACTCACTGGTTATTGGTTGCAGCCAGTTGGATTTGTTGATTGCCGACCAAGAGTCAGCACTGAGCGATGGTGGGCCCAACCCACCCGGAGTTTTGGCGAAGCCCAGGAAGCAAACATTCCGGAACGCAAGTTTTGTTTGCTATGTTCTGGTGGGGAAAACAATCGCGTAGAGAGTAGACTGTTCAAGAAAGTCTTTCGCGGGCTGGTTCCAACCAACCCCACAATGGATGCCCAGCCTCGATAACGCAAGCCCATTTGGTTGAATCTTGGGAGCACCGAAACGTGAAAAGTGCAGACGGTTTGTGGAGGCAACCCCCTGTCCTGGCCAGCTAGCCGCCAGAGCCGAGGCGAAAGAATTAAGATTCTCCCATGAGGAAATTTAGTTTCATGCGGAGTGTGTGTGTGTGTGTGTGCTTGTGATTGTGTGATAGGTTGCTCCCTTTCGGGTTGTCTGAAAGGGAAACAATTGGAGAGCCAGACGTGGTAATAGACAGTTGAAGTCATTTTGTTTGCATGTGGGAACATGTCTGCAAATCTCCCAAGCCAGACTAGCAGCTTACTCGAATCTTATAGTTCTACTTACACAAAATGACCAAATTGTGTGTTTGCCTGCCTACTTTTGCGGTCTTGTCTCTTTTGCCAGGAACCAAAGTCCTAGGGGTAATGTTTTGGGGCGCGCCCAATAAATACCCCTGGTCTGGGGGATTGTTTTGTTAGTGTTTTTGTTTGCCTTTGCGGTGTTTGTCTCGAAGTTTCTTGCCATTGACGTATGGGTTCACAACACTTCCATCAGGGCCTTGTGTTTGTGTGTTTGTCTTGGCTTTGGTCTGAACTGGAGAGACACAAACTTAGACCTACAATGCCGAATGGAACTTTGGGATAGCTTCTCCCCCAAGCTCGTATGTCTGGGCAACGCAGGGGCGCAGGCTTCAAACAAATTTGTTAAGGGATAACAAGAGAAGGTCGCTTAAAAAAGGGTTCAATCATGTTTCCAGGGGTCCTCTCGAGTGACTCGAGTGCATGAGCCTGGGGTAAGTTTTGTCCTTCATGCGCCGGATTGGACATCGCCAGGATGATACGGCGCTGGAAGTGATGCAAAAGCCGCCTGGCATTGCATCGGGCGCCCATGGTTGTCCTGAAAGCCCATACTGTAAACCATGGTTGATTAAAAGGTCCCACTTTCGGAGCTATTCGTTACTTTCATCCACCGAGGTCACATTGTGGAAGAGCAGACCCCAAGGTGCGATCCTCCCAACAACACAAGGAACATGGTGTCTAAAAGGGAAGCCATCAAGACTCCAGCCAGGTTCGTATATTTATATACATGGCGTATACACACGGTATGTGCAGCTTGCTCCAATGTGCAGAAAATCTCAGCGTGCCAGCAAGCTGCAGCTAAAGCTGCTCCAGCAGGCCCCAGTTTCTCCATATCCAGCTCTTCAAACAAGCGACCTCCGCAAAAAGTCAGCTCGCCTTGCCTTCATTTCCTTCTCCGAGGTTGGTGTTGCCAAAACCTCAAAACACTGCAGGACCGAGGATTTCGTCCACTCCTGGGGCTGTCTCAAAATCGGGCGCCGGAGTCCCCTGAAAAAAGACAATGGGTACAGATACATGAATCAGCGTGAGCGTTTCGCACCGCTCCCAACGGAAAGCCAACCGAGGCTGGACAGTGAGGGCGTGCGTGCAGCTCCGGTGCTGGCTCTGCCGGACTCAAGCCCTTCGCGCGGAACCGCCGGCGCCAGCGCGTCCGGCGCCCTGCGCATCATTGCGCAGTTCGACCTCGCGGCGGCTCGGCTGACACGGTGCGCGTTTTAGGTGGGTGTGCCTTTTTTCTTTTTGAAGGTGCCCACCAAAATGTTGTTCCTTGAAATCCACCCAACAAAGGGTACCCTCAAAAAAGGCTGACAACCTCCAGGAGAGTATTCTGGGCCTGCGGCCTCTAGCCGGCTACGCCTCTTTGAAGTTATACCATGTCATGTCATGTTTTTGTGTGGGAAACGTATCCTGTGCTATGATATGGCTGGTTCCAACCCCAGATGATGCCAGCCGGAACCCAGAAGGCTGACATGGGGTCGCGCGCGCGCGCGCCAGAGACCCCAGAAAGATCAGCCCAAAAAGAACAGCCCGCAAGCCAGCCCAAAAACGCAAATGCAACAAAACACCGTAAATAGCAGCGTTTTGTGGCCGGGGTCGCGCGCGCGCGCCAGAAGGCCCGAAAACCAACCGGAAAAAAGCAAGGACCGCGCAGCACGCGAGCCAGCCACAGCAAAAGCAAAACGGACAGAACAACAGCCCAACGCTTAGCACAGCAGTTTTGGGCGGTATTTACAGCGTTTTGTAGGGCCAGGACCCAGCATCGCCGGCATGCCCGGCAGCGCTTGGCGCCAAAATGCGCAAAAATGAGCCTCGCTTATACCCCTCCGATACCTTCTAAAAAACAGTGCTTCATGGGTCGAGAGGCTTTTTGGAAGGAAGTCTTGATGATGCAGACCAAGCCCCGCTGAAGCATCACCCAGGCCAGGCCTAAACCCTGCATATACGCGATGTTTCGCGAGGGTTTCCCACAGGCAAGCAAAACTGCAAGCCATAGCTGGTGATGCAGAGGTGCCGTGGCGAGGGTCGGCGGCACCAGGGTGCAGCCCCTATAGCTAAAGCTAGCAGGCTAATTGCCTAGCGGCGACATGCTACCCCAGGCGGCGTCAGCAGTATCCTCAGCATCCATCATCACAATGATCATCGGCATCATCATCATCGGCAGCAGCATGATCATCAGTATCATCAGCATCATCATCATTCTTCATGAGCACCCTGAGCATCAAACATCATCATTATCGTCTTCGGCATCATGACGGTCAGAGGTTAAGGTCAGGGTTAGAGGTTAGAGGTTAGGGTTAAAGGTTAGGGTTACAGGTTGGGCTTAGAGGCTAGGGTTGGAGGTTTGAGGTTCGCGTGGGTCAGAGGTTAGGGTTCGAGTTAGGGTTAGAGGTCAGGGTTAGAGGTTAGGCTGAGAGGTTAGGGTTAGAGGTTGGGTTAGGATGTGAGGATAAAAGGTTAGAGGTTAGGGTCAGGGGTTTAGGGTTAGAGTAGAGGTTAGGTTAGAGCATGATGACGACGCTGATGAGGATGATGATGATGATGATGACTTGACGATGATGATGACGATGATGATTATGCTGATGAATGATGCTGATGATGAGGATATTTTTCACAACTTTCCCAGACCAAAAAGGCCAACCCAGACACCTGCAGGATGATGCAGGTGAAGCGGGCTGCCTTTTTTCCCGACACTGGACGACCAAAAAGGCAGCTCCTGCATCCCCAACATGCAAAGCATCACCCCGGGCACCTGCAGGATGATGCTGGTGAAGCGGGGGGGGACCTTTCTTCCTAATTTTGAAGGTTAAAAAGACAGCTCCCACATGCAGGAGGATGCTGGTGAAGCTGGGGATGCAAAAGCCGCCTTTTTCTACAACTATCGAAGACCAAAAAGGGAGCCCCCGCATCCCCAGCATGCAAAGCATCGCCCCAGGCACTTGCAGAATGATGAGGATGATGCTGGGGATGATGAGGCTGATGATGATGTCGATGACGATGATGATGCTGAAGATGATGATGAGGATGAGGACGATAATGATGATAATGATGATGATGATGATGATGATGATGCCGATGATGATGATGCTGGATGACGAGCATGATGATGACGCCGCTGATGATAATGATGATGAGGATGAGGACGATGATGCTGCTGATGCTGGTGAATGAGGATGATGCAGATGATAATGATGATGATGAGGATGAGGATGATGATGATGCTGGATGACGAGGATGATGATGACGCCGCTGATGATAATGATGATGAGGATGAGGACGATGATGCTGCTGGTGCTGGTGAATGAGGATGATGCTGATGATAATGATGATGATGATGATGATGCCGATGATGATGAGGATGATGATGATGATGGATGTTGATGGTACTGAGGATGATGACGATGATGATGATGGTGATGATTATGAAGAATGCATGATGATCATAGTGGATGCTGAGGATGATCACGACGCCGCTGATGATGATTATGATGATGACGATCATGATGATGAGGATGCTGCTTCCTGATTTTTCTGATGCTGCTAATGATGATGATGATGGTCTGGACGAGAATGATGCTGATAAGGGTGATGATAGTGACGACGATGATGATGATGATGCTGGTGCTGATGATGATATCGATGAGGATGCCGGATGACGAGGATGATAATCATAATGATGCAGGATGATGATGATGCTGCTGAGGATGAATGGGTTAGAGGTTAGGGTTGGAGGTTAGGGTTAGAGTGCCAGGGCCGGGGATTGAAACACGATGCAATTTGGCCCCTCAGCATCATCATCATTATCATCATCATCATCATCATCATCATCATTAGCATCATCATCATCATCATCATCATTCATCATCATCACCATCAGCATCATCATCATGATCATCATCATCCATCATGATGATCATCATCCATCATGATGATCATCATCCATCATCATGATCATCATCATCATGATCATCATCATCCACCATTATGATCATCATCATCATCATTCATCATCATCATAATCCGTCATCGCCATCATCGTCATCATCCTGAGCATCACCAGCATCAGCATCATCACCATCATTAACATCATTATCATTTATTTGTCGTTATCATCGCCATCATTATCATCGTCATCATTCTCATCACCATCAACATCACCGTCACACATCATCACCAACGCCATTATCATCATCTTTCATCATCATCATCATTCATCATCCTGAGCATCGTCACCCGTATCATCATAATCATCATTCTCACCATCATCACTCATCATCACTATCATGACCATCAGCATCATCATCAGCATCATTCTACCATCATCATCATTATCACCATCATCATCCATCATCATCGTCATCATCATCCATCATCGCAATTTTCGTCATCAACCAGAGAGCATGACCAGCATCCTTTCCGTAGTCTTCCGTCTTCTTCCCGTAGAGGTTAGAGGTTAGGGTTAGGGTGAGGTTCGGGCTAGAGGTTAGGGTTAGGGGTTAGGGTTCGAGGTTAGGGCTCGAGGTTAGGGTTAGAGGTTAGAGGTTGGGTTAGAGGTTAGAGGTTAGCGTTAGAGGTTACGGTTAGAGGTTAGGATTAGAGGTTTGGGTTAGAGGCTAGGGTTAGGGTCATCTTCCCGTAGTCTTCCGTATCTTCCCATCATCTTCCCGTAGTCTTCCACCATTTTCCCGTAGTCTTTCATCATGTTTCCGTAGTCTTCTGGCATCTTCCCGTAGTCTTCCGTCATCTTCCCGTGGTCTTCCGCCCTTCCCGTAGTCTCCCGTCATCTTCTCACGACATCGTGGAGCTGAGAGGCGAATTGAGTACGCTTAGTGCATGGACCTGGACGCCAGGGAATAAGATGATGCCGAGCAGAGCCTGGTGGGCGTAGCAGATCAAGAAAGGAGTCCAGGATGAGGTGATGCAGCAGCTGGAGGTGGGTCAGGAGGAGAGGGATGCCATCTTCGCAGCAGCTGGGAAGGAAGAATGACACGAGAAGGAGAGGAGAACGGAGAACGGAGCGCATGGAGAGGAGAGAGAACAGTTGCTTTGGGCAACGCGATTAAGAGGAGGATCAGGAAATAGCAGGAGTAAAGAGAATAGAGAAGACGGAAGTTCATATGATCAACACAGGAGGAAATGCAGGTCTTTGGAGGTTCGCCAATGGCGGGACTTTTCAAGGGGCGGCAGTGATTATGTTGCAGGAGATAGCCTGCGACAAAGGAAAGTGGGCTTCCTTTGCAGGAAAGATGAGATCAAATGGATTTGAAGGATGGTCGGAGCTCACCACAGAAGCGCAGAGACAAGGACGCCAGCGTGGTAGAGTAGCAGAAGGAGGAGTAGCGGTGTTGCTACACGGAGGAGGGAAAACAAAGCATGTTCCATCTCCTCCGCAAAGAATGGGTCCTCTCCACCTGGACTGAACCATCCATTCGTGAAGCGCGATCGCCATCTCCTCTGTGTTCTCCTGACCCGGCGATGTATAGACCACCACGAAGAGACAGCCGCACACCTCTCTGCCAACCATTGTCCATTGAGTACGGAGGAAGCATGTGTGAGAACCTGGCCATGGAATGGGGCTCCAGCAAAGATTCCCATCCGGGCATCATGTCCACCAGATGGAAAGGTAAGAAGGTCATCGACTATTTCATGCAAAGACAGGCCCATGTGGGAGATATGCAGCTTTTGCACTCTGGAGTGAGCGACCACATGGGATGCAAAGTGGAGTGGCAGCCGGGCCTCATCCAGCAGAAGAAGAAGACGGTCATGAAGAAGTCTAAGACTTTCAGCAAGCCGTCATGGCTGACATTAAAAGAATGGAAGAAGATCGAATGCCCTAGAAGCAGAAGACTGGAGGACGGTGGAGCTGGAGAACTTCATTGAAGCAGAAGACCAGCAGCAGCAAGCAGAAGCAGAGTGGAGGAGGATGTGTGAAAAGATCACACAAGCATTCCGGCAAGCCTGCTTGTGGGCCGTTTGGGCCATTGCACAGGACTGGGATGGGCCTTTGGAAGATGTTAAGAAAATCGAGGAGATGATCAGCTTTTGCGATCGCAGGGATCACCCACAGAGGCAAAAGCAGATGACAAGGCCGAAGGCCCAGCAGCACCAAGGCATAGCAGAGAGGAGGAGATTGAATGCCATTGCGAGGTTGAAGAGCCTCATAGCTTTCACTTCGGCCCCGTCGTCTCCCTCGGCATGTTTGCAGATGGCGCAGCTCCGGAAAAAGGTTTCTTTGTATGTGCAAAGGCCACTGTCAAGGGGTGATTGTTTGGACTCCTTGCTGGATCAGCTGTTGAAAGACCAAAGGAAGGAAGAGGAGAGAACTTGTAGCAGCAGGACAGCGAAGTGGAGGAGTGACATGAGAGAGGATATGCAGAAGAGAGGTGCTTGGATTGCCAACGAAGGTAGAGGAGGCATTCTGCAGTACGTCAGAGGGGAGGAGAAGTTTCAGGACACCACCGAAGCCGTAGTCTTCCATCATCTTCCCGTAGTCTTCCGTCATCTTCCCGTAGTCATCCGCCAGCTTCCCGTCATCTTCTCGCAGTCATATTCCCGTAGTCTGCCGTCATCTTCCCGTAGTCTTCCGTCATCTTCCCGTAGTGTTCCGTCATCTTCCCGTCAGCCTCCCGTAGTCTTCCGTCATCTTCCCGTAGTCTTCCGTCAGCTTCCCATCTT